ATTGAGTACATATTTTATGCTTTACCCTTATGGGGTTTTCTTCAAGCAATTTGAATCCTTCAGAGATTTTCTACACTTCATGACACATTTTCCTTTAGAATTTATACAGAGCAATTTGCTTCCATGTATATTTGAGGGATTTACTTATGGAGATATGATGTGGGTGACTTATAACCCTTTTTATATAATTCTCCATTCATATGAACTCCTTTACAACCTTGTGTCATATCATGTGAATGTATTTCATGGTATTACAAATGCCCATATGTAACCTTCTAGGTTCAACATCTTTTGGCTATTTGTATTGTATCCAAGTATATAGGTCTATTTTTTCACGTTCTTACAAAATTGTAATGGAATTGCGTTTCTCCATTTTTGGCCCATAATTTTATTGATGGAAAAAGAACGGGACTCAATATCACCACAGCTCATTGATGAATTTAGTAGCTACTTGTAAGAACCAAAATTACCATTGGTTATCATCAATTTGTGATCCCATATTCTCATGTGCATGCGCATGCATAAAAGCTTTTCATTTCTTTTGGAATATCCATTGCCTCTTCAAGGGCATTACACTATCTCTTCCAGGATAGTTATAATTTAGAGAATGCGGATCATAACCTCCTCTTGAGCGTTATAGAGCTTGGATTTTAATCTCCACTTCGGGAGTTGAGTCATTGGAACCTATATATCTATCATGCTTCATGCATGAGACATCAATATTCCCATGTCCACGGAGTGACCTTTTCGGGACAAGTATCCTTGCAACAACTGTTATGCGTCTGGCATGTGACAGTTATGCAATAGTTCAGTAGTGCCATATTCTTCTTCTGTCGAAGGATTGAACCTTTTGAGTCTGAGGATCTGCCACGCTTCAGGCGTGTAACAGATAAATCATTTGCTGCCATATTATTTTGTCCAATAGGGACATTAATTCTTGTAGGCACATTTGCAGCAAGCATATGTGATTTTATCACTTTCGTTGCATCATTAAATGCATCTAGCATTTGATTTGCATATCGTTGCATCATTCAATTATTCTCACTTTGTTTGTACATTGATTGCTTCATGAATCAAAATAGGACAAATTCTCTTCGTTCTTCTGGAACGGTTTTTTCTCATCATTCTTCTGGAATGATATTTGCTCATCGTTCTTCTGAAACAAAGTTATTTTCTCCCCCTAACGGCAGGAAAAACTGTCTTATCAAAATGACAGTCCGCAAACCACGCGGTAAATGTATCCCCAATCAAGGGTTTTAAATATTGAATGATAGATGATGTTTAACATCAATGCCTAATCCGCAATGATGCTTCATTTCAGTATGTTGTGGCAGTGCAATAGGCACATAGATAACACAACCAAAAACTCGTAAATATATAATGTTTGGCTGGTTCCCAAACACGAGTTGTACTGAGAAGTATTGATGGTTGTCAACAGGTCTCAACCAAATCAATAATGCATCATGTAAAATGACATGTACCCATGTAAAAACGGGCAATTTTATTTTCGTGAGCAGAGCGCGGGTAATCTATTTCATCCGCTTAATAAATGCTTCTGCTAAACCATTTTTGAGTATGGACATAAGGAACTTCTGGTCCTTATTTAATAGTCTTACAGACCGAGACTCTTATGGCTTTTATTGCAATTAAGTTGAGGCACTGTGGCACTTCAAACTTAAGATACTTATCAAGGAACTTTATGTCCTGATCTTGAGGATCAAGGGACTTCATCCCCGATCTTTTTGTTTGATGGAACTTCAGGTCCAATCATTTTTATATGATGAGGATCAAGAAACTGCAGGTTCTGATCTGATCAAGGAACTTTGGGTCCAGTATGTACTCATCGTAATAAAAAGAAGTACAATAAATAAATTAAAGTAATAGGCGGTAATTTCAACCATAATGAATAAATTGCATTTAAGTAAATAAAGCTTGTGACAGGGGCTTTAATTCAGCACCATTCACATAAATCAAAACTTAAAGCAGTAGGCGGTAAAACCGTCCATGATAAATAAATTACTTTAAAGTAAATAGAACTTGTGAAAGGTTTTTAAACCAACACAAATTCACATAAATAACAAGAAGTATCATACCTCCTTTTATTTATTATTTTTCTTTCTTTTGTCAGTACTTATTCAAACTTTACTTTTCTTATTTCTGTAGCATGGTGCCATGCACTAACAGAAACCATTTATATCATTTTGACTAAATGGTGTCATGCACTATTCAAATCATTTTTTATATATATATTTTTCTTATGTTGCAGTCAACATCCCTTTTTTTCTTCTTTCTCTGTCTCTGCCAGTCTCAAAACGCAGGGCCAACTGGGTAGTTATGGAGGTTGCCCAAATTCAATTCAATCCAAAAGGCTACAAGAGACTGGCGTTGTTCTTGCATGACCCAGGGAACATGTCATCGTTAAGCAAGAACTTCCCTACAAAGACATAGATGACAGTGGGGTTGACAGAGGCACAAGAGAGGGAGGCCTGTGTGGATTCATTCTTGCCATCACCATCTCAAACAACCAAGTATTCATGGGAGTTCTCAAGATTCGTTGAAAACAACGTGATCTGGGTTTCCAAGTCTGATGAGATTCTTCTGGATCTCTGGAAACCAGTTGTCAAGTACGAGTTTTCTCATCTCGTGACGACTTCAGGTCGTAAATTTCAATTCTCACTAGAATTCGGTGAGGCGCTTCTGGCGCAGTGGGAGAGACGAAAAATGGACATACCTTTTATTCTGTGAGATTTTAGATGACGGAGGTGAGAGGTGAATAGTGCTTCATCGGATTTATGGCGTTGTGCTTTCCACTGACATGAGAGCTTTTCGTGCTGATAACGTGTTGTAAAATCGACGATGTGTGTACAGTGGAATAAATAAAACATGACACAAAATTTACGAGGTTCCTCTACAGTCAGTGTGACTGGAGTACGTCCTCGGGCAGCAGTGATGCTTTCATTATAATTTGGAATAATAGGAGTACAAAGATAACTCTATGTATTCTCTCCTCTCCTCTCCTCTTTTTTTTTTTTTTTTGCTCACTCTTCGAAGCATACGGAGTGCTCTATTTATAGAGCAACTCCAAGCACACATCTTTGACAAATGATCTCCACATATCAATATTTTGCCAAGGTTTTCAACCCTTTGGCAACGTTTTCAATGTTGTGGCAGGTATTCAATACTGTGGGCATTCATTACCCACTAGTATTTTCAACAATGTAGGTGATTTTTAGGGTTTGTTGACCAGCCTACTCCACTTCAAGCTCATCTTATCTAGTCACTCTTGCCTTTGTAGCACAACTCTTCAATCCTATTTTTTCTTCTTTCTCAAATCTATCTCTCTTCTTCTCTGGCTTAAATTAAATCTCAATAAAATGCAATACCATAACTAAATTCTTAGAATTTATCTTAGCATGAACTCAATTTCCTTTTGAACCTAGTAAGAACTAAGAAAGAACAAACAACTTGCTACACTTTTAAGAAGGCATGTTAAAATCACACTCCACATTTGACAAAAGATTTCCACCGTTCTTATTTATTGTGTGTGTAACTCAGTCTTCTTTTTTTCTCTATATTAGTTATTTTTTTTTTCTCTTGTGATATGACGTCTCTAAAATATGAGAACACATTATTGACAATATAAATGAAAACATGATCAAACTTCTAGAGCTTATATTATGATCCCATTATTGTACAATTTTGACTTCACCACTACATATTGTTATGTAAGAAAGTTAAGATAAATAATCGTACATGACTTATTTAAAAAATATTACCACAGTATAATCTTCTTGTAGATAATTTTCTCATCTTAAAACATGAAGCAACTGCCCAAAAAAACAAACAAAAATATAAAAAAAGGGCGTAATTTTCTCATTCCACCACTACATATTGTTATGTAAGAAAGTTAAGACAAATAATCGTACATGATTTATTTAAAATATTACCAAAATATAATCTTGTTGTAGATAATTTTCCCATCTTAAAGGTACGAAGCGACCGCCGAAAACAACAAACAAAAATTAAAAAATGGCAAAATTTTCTCATTCGAATATCTTTAATTCTCCAAGCTCAGCTCAAAAGGTGTGGGTATACATGCACCTATGCACTAAAACAACAACGTAACGGGTATTTTTAAATTCCGATGTGTTTATCCCTCTCATTATATGATTTATCTAGTTACGTGAAATTTCAATGTGTTTATCCTTTTTATTATACGTTTTATCTAATTACGTGATTCAACACATAATTTAACAAATAATGACATCTCAACACGACATGCTAAATCACGTGATCAGAGTGATTAAAAGTTTGAACTCCATGAAGAAGTGCGTAAGAGTGGTGAGTCTGGTGGCATGACATTCCTAGACCTGCTGGAGTCAACGAGCATTGAGGTCAACCACTAGACAATGGATGGTAGATGATCTACTTCTCTGTCCGACTCCGACCCCATTTCCCATAACCTTCTTGAGGGCCCAATGAGCTCAAGACTTCTTTGTCCAAAAGAGATTCTCATTACGACAACTCTCATGCTAAATAGAAGATATTCGGTAAGGCCGCCTAATTAGATCATTTCTCACACGTAATAAGATTACGTGAGATTAAGTGAAATCAAAATACACCGAACCTGTGCAAGATGTCATGCAGATAACATGGTCACTAGTTTTTCTCAATGACAAGATGGATGTGGAAAGTGGCAAAACAATGGATTAGTGAAGGTGAAGGTCAAGGTCAATTTCCCCAAATTCCAAATGATCCATGCTTGCATCTTTACCACCTCATGCTAATCGAAATCATACGACATAATGCTAATATCGAAAATATTTTCTTACCTCAAACGAAATCCGCTCTTTTGTTTTCATCAACAATTGAACGAATTCAAAACAGGAGAGATCCATCTGCCAGCCAAGTAAAATGAGTGCTAGAATGGGAATTCGACTTCGAGTTGAATTCTGCAGCATCACTCAAAGTTGATCCACAAATCATCCTGCACTAACGCATTCACCAGAAGAACGAAACATCTACTAATTGTACTTTCCATCTTAAACACGAAGCATTCGTTTGAATGTATTTTTTTGCATCTTCAAGATTAAAGGCCAGCCATCCTGCAAGGCCAGAGCTGCCTACCCGTTTTACATTGGTAGCGTTTACCACCTGAGCTACGATACTAATGCAACATTCCTAGTAACTATTTATAACTAACGGAAATATTGTTCTAAACCAAGAACCTGAACTAAATAGGTGGAGTGATAACAACCAGGCGATGCGATGCTCAATTTACCAGCATGTTTGAGATCTCCAATTTAGCGGTTGACTCTAGGTTAGTGGGTTGGGGCGGAATTCAGTGATGAAGAGTCCCTGCTGGAAGCCCAGGTGCTTCCAATGTTGTTGAGGTGTGTTTGTATAGGTGATGAAACATACTGGACTGTAGGCACTTGGTAGAGACTGTAGTATTTGGCAGCATTCCCCTGCTGTATTCCAGTCTCCGCCTGCGAAGGTAACTGATTGTACCCGTACCCCAAGCTCGTATGTTGATCATTAGGAACTGCATTCTGCGTGGCCTCATGACTGTGATAGCTGCAACACAAGGACCATGATACTTTCAGTTTGATAACAAAGACAAGTCAAAACAAAGAGACGTAGACATCACACTTGCACGATAGCATCTAAGAACTAACAACAAAGTTAAGAATTCAAAAGAGAATGATTATCCGGGATGCTCTTTTAAGCATGATTATTTGCAATGAAACTCTCCGCTTAACAAATCAAATATAACAGTTCCCGAATTGCATAATTTGTTTTCTTTCTCTTCACCCAAATATTTCCTGCATTAGTAAATATTCAAACTCTAGTTCAACAAAGCACCATAGAAGTGCGAGTAGCAAATTAATCAGGCTGTGAAGTGAAGGTCACAGGGGCTATGAGGTCTGATTAAGCGCATGTATTGTAACTTCCGAAACAATACTCTTTGGCTAGCATTTCCATTTAGAGATGCAATTTGCTTGGTGGAGCAGGGAACTCCAAGTTTCCAAAAAAAGAATCTACCTAAGGATAAGTACCTTTCATATGATGTGGGTGTTTGTGAGACAGGTAGTTCAGCCAAGTAACTGTGTGCAACTTGTGCAGAATAGTATGTCTGATTTGGAGCTGGCATAGCTTGCGGTTGCACAGCAGGATAAATGTTGCCCATGTATGATATGTATCCATAGCTAACAGGCTGTTGCTGTATGACATTCGGTGGAATATACTGAGGCTCCAAGGGTGGTGAAGTAAGACCATTGTATATCGAGGCTGCATTTGGATCCTTCAAGGAAGGCAGGCTTGCTGGGGATTGAAACTGTTCCTCAGTATATTGAGTTGGAATTGCTGATTGTGAACCTGCATTGGACACTGCGGGGTGCTCTGCATGATGGGAAAGACCCATGTTTCCTGTGGATCCACGACCATCCCACTGCTGAACTAGGACCACCGGTGGAACATACCGAGGCACTAACACTTGTGGGGGTTGACTGAGACGCATTGAATTTAAGTATGTAGTGCCTGAAGGAGGCAGCCTTGGGTAGGGATGATATTGGTCCTTTCTATAGGATCTGTCATATTTGACAGGTGATTGTGTGGTAAGAGGATGAAACAGTGATAATAAATGGCTTACCTGCACATAAAATCAACAGAAAAATAAGTACAGTTGATCAAGCGACAGCAATCCAATCGATAAGGATGAAATGGAACTGCTTCCGTTGCCAAAGAAACTTACCTGTTGGCTATTGAGAATGGGGTTAAATTTCTTGGAGCCTTTCTGGTAGTTATCTAGAATAGCATGTTTAAAATCACTCTCTGACAAGGGGTGACATTCCTTGCAAATATTGAATCTTACCTATACACAAAATTCAAGTGAATACTAATTAGTTCTTACTAAACAATATGTTAATGCAGGAAATTCTAAAAGACGAATCATTAAGCAGATTGTGATACCAATGGCGGTTTGGTCCAATGTGCGTTGTCATTAAAAAACTCTTTCATCGCACGAAAGCTTATTTTCTCTTCCCATTTAACTTAAACAAAGACCCTTTTAGTAGGAGATGATACGAAAAAGAAATCTAAACTCACCTGTGCAGGAAAGCTTCCACCAAAAGCCGTCCTTTCCAAGTTCATCTTTCCAGCAGTGGTTGCTTCATATACACCATAAAGAAACTTCACATCATAATCAAATAGAAACAGCTTTGTGCCCGGCCTGACCATCTCTATAACTTCCCTTCTTCCAGCAGGAAGTCCAAAGACACGGTACAGATAGCATTCCGGTTTTGTTCTTCCATTACACATAAATATATAGCCAGAAAAGTCCTCCACACCCAGATGGTCCTTACGCACCCCATGATCCTCAGTAGCACAAGCAGAAGCAGCAAGATGGTCGTACGCATAATTCAAAGGAGCACGAGCCGGGTAATAGTTGGCATTCATGTAGTTTGCAGCCGGCCCCTTGTTTTCAAACCCGTCATTTCTTCCCTTGATCATGTTGAAGCCTAATACGAAAGTAGCACGCCACCATTTCGGCAATGCCAGACAAAACAATTTTCCATTAACGATTTCACAACTAGAACAAGAAACAGATGTAAAAAACGCGAAACTAAATTAGCAAAACTCATTGCAAAATCCTAGAACTCCTTGAATGAATGTTCGACGAACAAACTAATGTGGCATAACTCATTGCAAATTCCTACAAACCTAGCAACATTTTACAGCTCCCTAAAATACTTCCAACCCTTCACTGCATCATCTCGATCGTGATCCGTGGGCTGTCACATCTCAGAAGTAAACGATACCAATTGGGGTCTCAAATATCTACATCTGAGTACTATAAAGCGTCACGTTTCACTCTAAATTGCACTGCAAGAAAATTTTGCTTACATCTTCCTTTCAACAGTCACCTAACTTCACCAAAACCATGATGTGAAATATCTCCAACCCAATTTCGTGACCTACATTTCCCTTTTTCTATAAAATTTTGAAAAAGTAAATAAAACAAATTAAAAACTTACAAGGTACTACTTGAAAAACCCATTTCAGCAAATGCATCAATGTTGATCACAGCTCAGAACAACATCAACCCAAAACTTAATTCTTCCATTTAACGCAATTCGACAGAGGAATTCACCAATTCAGCTCAAAAGCCACTAAAAATGCCAAAATATAATGGGAAAAAAAAAACCCAGTTGGACGCGCATTTAAAACTGTTCATACTGAAAGATGTGTAAGGGTTCCTACTCAAAGATGAGTAGGAGTTCATGCTCAAAATTGTTCGTGCTAATTCATAAATTTTCGTGTTTATTATCAGAATTGTTCATATTATAAATCACTTTAGGTCGTATAGTCATCAATTTGTATAAAAAATAAATTGATAAAAGCATTACGAACCGTCTATATATTTGATATAATTAATTGACTATACGACTTTTATTTTAATTTATTTTTGCAGAGATGATCATTGCATGAGTGATTCATAATATGAATTGTTCTGATCATAAGTAAAAACTCTGTGATTCGAAGAGTATTGAGTAAGAATAGTCAAACATTATTCTTTAAATACTGAAAAGAAATCAGAGAAATGGAAAAATCGTACAAAAAAACCCTCAGAAAAATGAAGAAATTGGGACTTACCAATGCAAAGGAGAGGAGACTTGAAGCGTCTAAGGAGAGTTGGAAATTTTTAGGAGTCGCACAATTTGAGTGTGGGAGGAAAAGGTCAAACCCCTATGGTACGTGTCATTATGCGCTTTCCACCAAAACTAATTTGTCACTAGAAATGAAAAGAACCTACATAAAACGGGGTATCCACCACAGTGACGTCTTGTTAAATAAAACAATTACATGGGTAAGCGTCACCAAAAATGTTACATTCACAAATAAAATTAATAAATACTTCAAAATTTTGATAATTGAGTTATGAGAAAATTTTACAAGGAATTGGCAATAATTGTTTTCATACATGACGAGATTAGTCAAGTTGGTTAGAACAGTGTTGATCTCTTGCACTCACATTTAAATTATCTTCCCGTATGCTTTTTTAATACAAGCAAAAGGAAGTGGCGACCTGCTTGAATAATGAAAAGTGTTTCTAAAATCTTAACCGAGGACCCATTCAAATAAGGTGATGTTATCTATACGCCTATCTTTACATCTCATATCCTTCTAAATTTTCAACGATCGAATAAATTTAAAAAAATATCAATAAGGACGTGTTAAAGGTTAAAAGTGAGTAAAGACCACAACCCTTTCAAATAATGCAAACTTTGGACTGCCGGAATATCCATCATCCGGTCCATGAGCCCAATTTTGTCAATGAACGACATGTCGTGTATGAGATGATGGTTACAGATGATTTCAACAGAAGCAGTGCATCATATCTTCCATTTCCTCAAAGAAATTTGCATCCAACACACTCAAAAATCAAAATTCACTTAGCAGCAACGTCCCGTCGGAAAAACTACTTACAATTCTCCGCCATCTCGACAGCATGTCTACACTCGATTCTTACAAAAATGCCCTACGTAAAGTCGTTACTCTTGAAAACAAGTAACAGATCTTTTCCGGGCCAGTAGTATCTGCTAGCTGGAACGTTGTACTGTCTACGTGGTTTTGTGTAAACCAATGTTCAAATCAGAAGATATGGAAATGAGAAGGGGGCATGAGTGGAGCCATACAGCTTTGAAAACCCGTTTCTGATGAGCACTTATAGACTGAGAAGGCTTGTTGGCGTTGTATCTGATATCGAATATGTGGATCAATGGATCTGCGGTACCAGATGAGATGTATAAGCCGTCTGGAGACCAGGCCTGATTGATCAGAGCTGACTGAGATTCACTGCTCTCTTGCTTCCACCCAAAAGCATGGATTTCTGTTTGCCTCAGTCTGATATCAAATAGTCGGAGCTGCTTCTCATGCGTCCTGCATGTTATAAACAGGTTAACGTTAACATATAAACATACATAGAAACCGTAACTGAAGAAAAGCCTTCGTCCAAAATGTATACATGTATTAAGTTAATCTAATATATGATTATTAATAAAGTATAGCAAGGCAATGGCTCTTCCAAAAGACTGCTGATGGTTAATAATATAAATACACAGTCAAAAACCATGAGGCGTCTTCACAAATAATATGAGGCAGCATACAAATGCATAAGGTGAACAAAACGGGATTCAGTTCTAGAAGCACTGACAAGGCGAATATCAAGACAGCACACGTATTGATGATATGAATATTCTGGATGAAAAATCAGTGTTTCTCACCCTGATTGAACCATGAAGAGATTAAAGTCGCAAGGATTTGGCAAGGCACTCATGCATTTGCTTTCTATCTGATGCTTAAACTCTGCTCTTCCCGTGTTAGCATCAAACCCAACAATTCTCTTGTCCGCTCCAGCTGATAGTATCATCTGCTTTTGGAACATCCCGGCTACTCCCATAACAGCAGATGAATGCATATTCCTATGCAATGTCTTTGGTTTCCATACATTCTCCGCATCTGTCTCTTTCCAGATTATAACAGCATGATCACTGCCACCAGTGACAAAACAGGTATCCTCCCAAGGTGGAAAAACTATGTTGTTAATGATCCCTCTCACATGAGGCTTATCTTCAAAGAAAGTAACACGACCTTTCTGTAAATGCACAAAATGCCAAGAATCAGCGTGTCAATTCTCTAAATTTGGAACTCATGGGCAGAGGGCATGCTGCTTAAACCTCAGTGTACCCCACACACAATTGCAACAATTAATTTTAAACGTAGCCCTTACCCCTTGTGTTCTATTTAGATCTAGAACTGATACTTGCGAGTCGCCACCATCAGCACTATACACAGAAAATAGTCTGTTTCCATCAGGATGCCAGGCAATATCTTCTGGCCATCTCCTGTTTGGGGATACACAATCAGTAGAACTAAGCCGAGAAGCACTAGACCTGCAATTAAAAGAAACAAAAGGGATGCCTACTCAGTTGTGCAAAGTAGAAGCGAATGCCTGGAAATTTGAGAGCACTGCTTAAGACCTGAGACGGAAAATTGAAACTGCTAGAATTTACAAATCCTGAGGTCATAGCACGAAGATATAATCACAGTTTTGCCTTTCTAAACAGATCAAGGAATAGTAGCCACGTAAATACCCCCACCGGTTTTTGAAACAAAGAGATACTGCACCTCCTTAGTCAATTTAGGACATACAGTCCACCAACAGTCAGAATACATCTCTATCAAAGGCATGCAATAACTATGCTCAGATACATGCTTTTCCTAATATATACAAAAAATAGGAGAAAGCTCGACTATATGACCTTATGCTCATTTTGATCCACTTTATATTGCTACTGAGAACACAATTATGAAGTTAAGAAATAATAATTTAAAATGATGAGATTTGGGCATTTGGGCATTACCCCTTGGACTGAACTTGCCAGAAGTTGACTACTCCATCTAAAGCACTGCAAACATTCCAAAGCACTTGTTAAAATTAATCACATTTGCTAACGTTTGATGCATCTTGTAGTTACTAGTTGTAGCCTTGTAGGACAAAGTAACCAATATACTTCAAGCTTTCTTTTACACTTCAGTTTCAAGTGTAAATTCATTCCATTGCCTGTTGTTGGGCTGCTTACACAAATTATTTTATATCACTTAATTACTTAAAATTTCAGGATAGGGATTCAATTTCGTTTGACATAGTACAAGAGAATACTACCAACTTATGAAAAAGAAAGACAGATACATTAGTTCCAAAGCAGGGCCATAATCTATAATTAATAGTTAATACACATTAATATGTGCAACTACCTGAAAGGGATAAAGATATCTGATACTTTGAGAATTTGATATGTATGTTACAGATTTAAGGTTAGAGGCTAATTCACACCCAAAGACAACTATTAACCGAAAGATCTGGACACAGGAAAACACAGCTTCATCTTATAACCGGAGGGAATAAATATACCCCCACTTTACTTTCCCCACATTTTCAAAGGTGAAATCCTGAAAGAGTGAAATAAACACAACAGGTATCATGACCATTGATGACAAGTAAAATTTACCTGGTCACAAAAAGCTGATCATTCACTGGGCACAAAGAAAGACTTCTCAACTTTCTCTTGTGCTGACTTGAGATGTGACTGCTCGCATAGCAGTTGATTTTACATGGTTGAGAGCTAGTGTGAACCAATGGGACTAATTCTTTGTGTTCTTTCTTTTCTGAAATACATATAACTTTTGCATCAGACACAAAGAAAAATTGAAATATGTGACCTAGAGACAGACAGTCAAGAAACAGAATAAGGACCCAATCAACATGCTAGAGTTTTACCAAATTTCCGCTTTGTCCCTTTGTCTTGAACTTCAACTTCCTGCTTTGAAGAATTTCTATAAGATTTGTCCCCTTTCATTCTGTTAGCACTAACAGGCTGACTAGAAACAGATGGACTTGCTTGAGCACTAGAATTAACTGGAGCTTTCCCACTAGACCTTGCCACTGTTGTAGGATGGGAAACTTTTGGGCTGACAGCAGGAATGAAAAGTTCTGTTTTCGATTGATGCTGGTGTCTAGAAGAACCTTCATTTAAATGGATAGGACTTGTTGATCTGCGCTCCACCTTTACACTATTCGTTCCACTAGCAGGTGAACTCCTAGTTGACCCTACTCTGTCTTGGCGTCGAAGTCGAGCCAACTTAATTTCAGTATCAGTTAACCTCTTCTCTGCTTCACCAAGCTGCATACCTTTTCCAAATAAACAATTAGCGGATAACTCCCTTCGGAAGGCATCTCATAAGTTAAAACACATAGAAACGCTCATCGCTTCGAGCATATCTGAAAATTTGTATAAATGTCTTCACTTGATGATTTTAATTTGCAGCAATTACGATTCATAACTTCATATACAATGAGTTTACACAAGGGCATTCGGCTAATAAATGAACATTGAGGAGCAATTCCACACATTAAAGCAGTGTTTATGATCAGACTCAAAACCAACAACCTTTTTATGAGTTTTCAATTTCTAACTTCATCTCAAGAACCCTAAAAAGATTTTTTGGAGTGCGATCAAAACCAGGTGCCCATTTGCCATGAAATTAGTTTAGGGCATATGTAATTAATCAATAAGTCAGTACTAATCAAACTTTGTATTTAACTTGGGTAAGTCAGAATGAGCAAAAAGATTTAAACTTTAAAGCCTAACAAAGCCTTGTAGCAACAGGTTAATCAAAAACCATAATTCAAAGTTCATAACTTTATAGCAACAGCAGAACGCGAAATGAAAACAAACAAACAAGCAAACCAACATTTACAAAAAAAAAACCCAAAATGTCACCATTGAAACTGACCAAAAACAATAAAGAGAGAGGGGATGGTGGGGTGCAACCTGAGTTTTGTAATAGGAGACGCGGTTGCGGAGGTGGTGGACTTCGCGGGTGCGATGCTCGATCAGAGCAACGAGGGCTTCTTCTTGCTCTTGTCTGCTATCTGGGTAGCCGTTCTCCTCCTCCGCCATCTTCACCTTGTTTGCTGCTTGTTCGCCGTCGCCGTCTATGATTTCTACGTCCTCCGTCTTGGGCTTCTTCAGAGCGCTCATTCAATAGTTATTTGTCTTCTGTAATCAAATATTTTGGGGCAGCAGTAAACCTTTGATTCGGATTTTAGGCGGCCTGGATACAACAGCTTTAGTTTTGGCAATGAAACCCCAATTAAATTTAAGAAATAATTTTAAATAACAAATTACATTCTTTAAGCATTAGATAAAACTATAAATTTAGTATTAAAAAAAATCTTTTTAAAAAAAAATTGTTAATGGTACATGGTTGATGATTCTATTTTGGGTAGACAAAAAGAAAACGATTTATATTTTATCAAATGTTAAGGATTAAATGATGACTTTTCAAAGTGTCAATAACATACTGGATATAACATCTTAGACCGTTAATTTGATTGGTATTTTTGCATAAGATATAGAGCTCGTTCGGATATGCTTTTACAATGACTGATAGTGTTTTTGGTGAAAATATTTGTAGAACCAATCTTTAGTAAATATGCAAGTGAATCACGGAAAATCACTTAGTGCATCCTGAGGAAGCACATATCTAATGCTTCTTGAAGAAAGCACTTTAAGCACTTTTGAAACCCAAAATCATTTTCTCTAAAAGCATTTTCAATCATTTTAAAAGTACATCCAAACAAACTCATAGTGCAATATTACAACTTCCAAAACTTGCACTCAGAGAAATTGCACTTTATAACTGCGTGATGATTTATGTAAAGTCCAAATAACAACTTTCAAACGATCAATGGCACACCTATTTTTCCTTCTTCACACTCTTATTTAGTTCGTACGTAGATCCTCATTTGATTTATTCTAACATCAATGTGCAGAAAGAAGATAAAAAAAAGAAAGAAAAAGAAAAAAGAGATGTTCGAAAATCACTTTACTTATGGTGAATGTGTTCTCTTTTAACAGAGGATGATCCAAGGGAATTTTATCCCTCAGGGGTTCCAAAAAGGAACTATCAAGATACAAGAGAACATTCAACAAAAAGACCGCAAGAAAACGCACTCAGATAGCATCAAAGCATGACTCGAATTTCAAAAATTTCAGCAACCGGAGTACTCAAAGGTAAATGTGGGTCTCCACCATTGGCCAACCAGAAAAAAGGGCCCACATGGGTAAAAGGTAAAAGTAAAAACAAGGTAAAAAAAACAAGCACAGGGTTCTGTGAGTGCCTGCCGATACACTGAGACATTGTTCAACAAACAAGACTCCAAAATTTTAAGGTCGTCAAGACATTCTCTGTGTCCATAAGTTGGCTTACTTAGGAAACATCAGAGAAAATACCAAACTGTTGTGAAGTAACCCTCTCGGTTTTAGGTGACCGAAACCTAGTAGAAGCACTCCTCTATAGTCAAAACTGAAGTCAATAGACCACCCCTGATGTAATGAATTGGAGTGGTTATGCTCGTTGTAGGCGGTTTCAGGTTGAGTGGTTAGAAATCTGGGTACAACAAGTCTCGCTCGGATTCCTTGGATTTTTCCTCTCCGTTTACAGTTGCCGAAGGACTTCCGTGATGATGGTTATCATCGTAGCCGGCTGTTCGAGGTTTTCCTGGTCTTGATCGGATGTTGGTACCCATGGGAAAGGGTTCCTATTGAGAGAGACAAAAAGTAAAACGGGTCAGTCTTGGTAATGGAGACATAATCAACCTGATGTAAGATTCTCTCAACCGAAAACCCTATTTACGATGATCTTAATCTTACTTAAGTTGGAAAAACGACAGCCTCATAGATTCGCGAAGGACTATAAAAAGGGAAGGGGGAACTGTGGATATCTTACCGGATCACCAGCATTTGGACCCTCCGTGTGGAAGAGAATGGGACGGCAGCGTTTGTCCTCATTCATTAAGCTTGAGTTCTGAAAATGGGCAATAAGAGCAGCTTTTCCCTGAATACGAGCATATGCAAGTGATGCCACCTTTTCACTGTTGAACTTCTCCCATTTTTTTCCATTGAATGCCTGCAACATATACACACGAAAATGTCATGAATATAAAAGGATTTGTTCCTCTGAGCAGATAATTTTTTTTCATTTCGGCAAATTAATACATCTCAGTCAGTCAAACCTTATAGAATGGAACAATCTGATGAGGATCAATCATGTTGATGAATGCGTATCCCACATTGCATTTGTTCTGTGAAAGATAAACATGCAAACATTGAATTAGACAACAATAAGCTTTTAACCCGAAAAGATGATAATCTAAACAGTTTCCTTGCCTTGAAGTCGATTGGCAAATAAAGAAAGTCATAAATTCCTCGACACTGCTCATCAATTGCAGCAAGAAGCATCTTTGAAGTGTACCTGTAACAACCGTTAACTAGTTTAGCAAAGCGGGAAAATCACTACACACAACTGGATAGCAATTTATACAAATATTGCAGTTTTCAATAATCTTATCATACTGTAGCCCACGATAACTATAAAGTGAAGATAAATGATGCAATAAATCAGAACAGTTGGGGGACAATATCCGTACTTGTTGGGAATGTTCTTTATCATCAATGTGGTGCGTCTGTCTTCCCCATGGCGTATTCGTTCAATATCAAGCTCATATTGTCTCTTATCAGCATTGTTAGAGTTTGCTTCATTTCTTCGGTGAGACAGGCTTCTAACACCACGTTCGTTTTGAGAATCAAAAGAGGTAGGCATTGAATTCATTGAATTCCTACCGGGAAACATGTGGCCCATCTCCTGTGAAGAGCGCTGCCGGGCACTGGTAGTCATGTCCAAGAAATTTCCACCAGTAAGAGAGAAGAGGTTGTGTGAAGAGACATCCACAGGATGCATCTGGGGACTACCAGCAAAACGTGCAAAGCCAAGAGAACCCAAGTGAAGGCTAGATGTGTCAGAAGACTCCCCTGAAAAGGCATGCCTTTCCCAAAGGGAAGGGTTAACAGCTGGAGCTGATCCTACATGGTGGTGCACAGGTGAAGTACCGCTCAGCATATGAGGTGGTGTCCTGTGGAATCCTGGCATTTGGGGAAAGTGATGTGCAGTAGGACCACTGATAAATGATGGTGAATTCTGCCACATCATGGGACTTGAAGGATGCTGCTGGTACGAGTTGGAGTTATTCAAAACATAGGGATGAGCATGAACTGGGCGGCTCCCATTTCCAGGAGATCCAAAAGCTGTGTAAGAAAGAAGAGAAATTGTAAACAACAATTTCACCAAAATAATGACTACGTTTACAAGTAATAATTCGGTTAAACAGTACCTCCTCCGTTCAGTTCCACTAGGTGACCATTTGCACTGACAGTGGACCTTCTGTCTGTTCCTTCTCTCATTCTAAGTCCCAGATTCCCATTCATGCTTCCGATAGCACCAGCAGTGTTGCATGGAATACCATGGGCTAAACTGTCATTATACTCAGGAAGCGAATGAGGATGTATGCCGGGAACACTCTGATTACCAAAATTCATGTCATCCAGAGACTGATCGGGGTCACGGAGGCTAAATTTTTTCCCTATAGATGCCCCCATCACTGGAGCGGGCAAGGCATCTTGAACACTAGAACTCTGATGAGATAAAGCGTTTTCAATAAATGTGCTCACCGGTGAACGGAGTGCAGAGTGTAAGCCCAGGCTAAATCCATTAACCATGCAGCTTGATGCGACCACTCCAGGATGAAGTGTTGCTGTATTAAAAGAAAGGTATCCATTTTATTACAAGATAAACACAATCGAAGCAACCATTCTTAACAAACAAATTCATACGCTTGGTGCCTGTTGATAAACTGTCAGACAAGCTATGACAAAATTTGAATTCATCTTGCTCCTGCTCGGAAACTTGAGCCAAACTGCAAAAGGAATGTTCTTTCTTACAAAGGAGAAAATTAAGAATTTCAAACTTAATTAAGAATCAGACATATTGGTAATCAATAGTAAGAATAAATTATCAATACCCCCTCCTTCCGCCCCCTGGACGGCTCGGTTCAAGCTTGATCTGCTTCCCTCCAATCTCACTCCTATTCAACGCATGGAGAGCAGCTTCTGCAGCTCTAACATCATAAAACTCTATGAACTTGTTATGTGGCTTGTGTGGAGTCTCACGGATCTGGAAACAAAAATAATAACCACATAAATATACTAAGTTCTTTCTTCCTCTTAGAAGCAAATCAAGATAATAGCAGGGAAAATCCTTTGACTTACTTCTTTAATTTCTCCATAAGATCCAAAAATTTTAGAAAGCTCGTCATTAGAAACAGAAGAATCAAGATTGAATAACACTAGCGTTCCTTGGTTAATATCTTTATCAGAAGGATTGTCCTGACATATTGGCAAGTATATTAGCATGATTGGAACAAAGCAACAGGAGAAAGTATAAACAAGACAGGAAGAGCAAGGTCGGGAATCTAGCGTATACAATAAAAGTGAATAGCAAATGATCATCGTACCTTGGGTATCGAATAATGTATGTCAAGCTTCCTACGCCTCAGTGACTTACTTTGAAGTGCTCTTAGTGCATTTTGGGCAGCCCTTATATCATAATAAGAAATCATAACAAACCCACGATGCTTGCAGGCTGTGTAAAGTGCCCGGATGTCTCCATATTGCTAGCAGAACAAAGTAAAATTGTCATTTTAGCTGGCTTGCATGGACTGTCAAACTAAAATAAAATATATGATAGAAAAATTAAAAACTTGAAAAGGAGGTATAAGCACCTCAAAAAGAGCCTTCAATTCCAAATCTTCAATGTTGCTATTAATATTGCGGACAAAAAGTGTTCGGGAAGGGTGTTCTCCAAAAGGGTGTTCACCTGCAATTGAGCTATAATAAACCCCTTGATCATCGCCTTCCAATTCCATTCCACCACCACTGCTAAAGAGATCAAAATCTTCAAATCCATCACCAATATTAACATGAGCCTTATAACCCGGCTCATCTGTCACGCCAGAAAACAAGTCATTTTCATCTGGAAGGAGATTTCCAATTGTTTGTGCCTCAATTTCTTCAAGAGATTCAAAGGGCTCTTCCTCATGTTGGTAAGCACCGTTGTTAGTAGATACAAAATCACTCCTCAATAATCGCACTGCATGTGAAAATAGTCAGCTTAAGTCAACTCAATCAAGACATATCCCAACAAATGCAAATGTGCGACTAAACATTAGTACATACATAGAAGTAGAGAACAAATTAAAACGTGTGTTATGCATAGGCATTGAGTTTAAGAAAGATTTTGGACCCAGATAATTGAAACGCATAAACTTTATGCAAGATAATATTTGAGATCAAAACTTGTTAGACATAGCATTGAAATCTTCTTGTGCGAAAATCAAATTTTGCCTCTTCTTTTACATGCTTGTAATGGATGATAGAAGTAGAACTGCAGATTAATATATCTACTGATGAAACTAAAGAGTGTATGGTAAACATAAGTATCTGATATGAGAATACAGAAAGTAACATTAACCGCATGCAACAAATAGAAAAATAATTAATAGACTTTAAAAGGAAAACTTACACTTTCTGCTAAAAATTTCAGACAAAGAGCTTGAGAACAGGCTACTTTCATGATTGGCGCCATTAATAACAGTTTTGCCACCAACCGAGCTATAAGGTGTTGGCTTTGCAGACAAGTCTGACCACAATTTTGGTTGGTGATCCATAGGTTTCCACGAGGCCTTGGAGATGTTGGGAACCCCTCCACCAATGCTTAGCCTTTCTGTTTGCTCCCCAGCCAGATTGGATTGTGGCAGATCCAAGTGATCCACCGACTGTGCCCCGTTTGGTAAATACATTTTTGATGGCATTGAAGATCCCAACATGCTGCCAGGTGTCGGTACCATTCCACCGACTCCCGCTGAAGGACAATATTTACACAGGAGATTAGTAAAAGTTATGGTTTCTTACCGCAGAATGTATCAATTCAAATTTCAAATTTAGAGTATGAGCATGGGTCAAGGGTATAGTCTGAAATCAACAAAAATACAATTTCAAATTTCCAAAAAAACATTAGGGGTTGTTTTGTATCCTTCTTGAAACCAATTTTTTGTTTCTGAAACTAATGAATATTAAAAGTAATTTAGCTGTTTCATCATTTTTTAAAACAAATTGGATACAAAAAGAATACCGAACATGCTCTGGCATTCAGAACTTCTAACAGAAAAGGTAACCATAACAGAACCAACTCGTGATCCATGGAACATTTATTTTCTTTCAATCAATAGACTTCCAAGTTTAGAGAGTTAAACGATTACTTTATAGAGCAATAAGAACCTCTGTTGTGAAGTTGGGACTCGGACAGCCAGTTGTCATCCCTTTGACCTAAGTGAAGACAAATACTTCTAAATCTTCGGATTGTTTATCACAACTACTATTTATGCTCATTCCCCTCTTTACGAGGCATGATCTAACTATGTAGACACATGTGGCGATTCAAACCTATGCATTGAGTGAGAGAGACTGGTGAACTTAGCACCACACCACACCACATGTCACGGCAGTTGTTAATAAGTTAGGGGAATCTGTTTGGATGGAAAATTATTTCAACAGGTAATGTGGTATAACTAAACCCAGAGAACCACCGAAAACAGAAGATAACCAGACACAACAAATTAGCTAATAGACTTTCTCAGGCAAGTTTCCTAACAGGATGCTTACCTTGGTAATCGGACATGGTTTTCAGCTTCTGAAATCCGACTTGTCTCTGGCGAATCAAAGGTTGCAAAGCGATATATATTAAGAACAATGGCAAAAAGGTATGATGTGCTAAAAATGGGGCAAATAATTTATGATAGAGTTAAGCAGGGTAAGATGCCTAATAAACACCAGTGCAATATGCTGAACGAAACGTTGCGAAAACTTCACAAAATACTAAAAATGGAACAACTTCCATGGTAACAAGACAAAGAATTACCTCAGCAGGAAAAGGGATTTCATCAAAGAGGTGGGAAGAGACGGATACACCCCTTTGATCCATTATTTCAAATGGCATCGTGCAGCACTCCAAAACCAGAAGTTATTACCAAACCAAACCGAAAAATGCAGTAAATTTTCGAGCTTTCTCAATTGCCGAATCTGTCTATGTAACATGACTCGTTACCTGAAAATTAACAACAGCAACAATTAAAAAACTAGGATGATCCACTTCAGATTATTTATTATACAACCATAAATTTCGAAAACGAAATTGGGAACGGCATTTAGAAATTCAAGGAAAAACAGAGATCAAATTACACAAAGCATGAAAATTTACTCATTAGGCTCTAAAAAATTTAAGATCTTACAATATTTTTTAATCCTTACAACCTCAGGGAGATGAAGGAAATGGGAAAATAGTAAGAAAGTGAAAATGTTTGCTCACCTACCAACAACCAAACACAATTTGCCCCATTTGGTTGCAGAGAAAAAGATAGGAAAACATAATCAAAATTTAATAATTTGGTTTTCCTAAGTTCTTCAGCAACCTAAAATGCATCAAAATTGAAGTTTAACCCCTTGAAAAATAGTGAAAGTCTAAGAGCAAAGATCAGGAAGAACATGAAAGCAGTTGGAGTTTTAACCCTTGAAATTTTTAAGAATATTCATAAAAATGAACTCAAAGTTTCAAAATTCAGACAGATTAGAGGAAATTTAACAACAAATTACAAACCCAAAAAAATTGAAAAAAATGAAGAACAAGGTCTGACCTAGTAAAACAGAAGGCTCACCAGCACAATTGATCACCATGTCCAAAATTCAGACAAATATGAACTTTATTACAAAAAAATCGAAACTCGTAAAACAACAAGATCTCAGCATCTCTGCATCTGAACCCTCTTCTTCTTTTGCAGCATTGCAAGTTGTCACACACACCACAAGATTGGAGAGAGAGAGAAAGAGAGAGAGAATATAAGAACAAAAACCCAAAATTTTCTTCCTTTTCTTCTGTGCTTGCTTCTACCTAGTTATTTTTCCAACCCAAAAAAAAAAAGTTTGTAGCCGGAAAAGGAGGGGAATTCCGGCGAGGAAGAGAGGTCGCGCCGGTGGGTCAGTCACTGTAGAGGAAAAGAATCAATGGAGGAAGCTGTTTTTGGATTTGTTAAACTGAAAACGTCGGACAGAGGAGAGAGAAGAGGGCTGGCTTTGTGGGTTTCAAATAAAAAGAAAAAAATAGGAAGGAGGAGGAGGAGGAAGAAGACAAAGACAAGAGAGAGAAAGAAATGGGCGCGGGTTTCTTTGTGTGTGAGGAGAGAGAGAGAGAGAGAGGAGAGAGGAGAGAGGAGAGAGAGAGAGAGAGTGTGTGTGTGTGTAATGTGTGTTGAGGTTTTGTGGATAAAATCAAACGAAAAAACATGAAGAAATGGAAACTGAACTGAAACACGCAAAACTCAAAAGAGAGAAAACCACGGGAGGCTTTAAAATCTGTGGGGAGTGCCAGAGTTGGGTTCAGTTGTGTTGGACTGGATTGGATAGGATTGGATTTTGGACAAACAAAATTAACCAGTCCCTCACACTCTTTCTTCTTTCTTTCTTTCTCTTCTCAACCAGTTTTGAGTTTTTACATTTCAGCTTTTGTTTTGACCTTTTGTGAGAGAAATTTTAAATAATGCGGAGAACACATTTCAGTACATCAAATGTAGTAATACAATTATTGAGTTTTTTTCTTTAAGTTTCCAACCATTATATTATTACACGGTGTACTGGGACCTCAAAGCAAGCCTGAAGCAGCTGTAGCAAGACATGCTATCCCTCCATTTACCCATTGGGTTGTATTCTATTCTCGACACACTAAAAATCTCTGTTTTTGTGATACAACCCTTTTCCACCATCACTTTTTACTTATGTTACTTGGGTACTACTTAGCTTGCTACTTGCAAGCTAGCTTCCTATTTTCTTCTCTTTTCGATAATCTAGCGATTACTGTGTAACTCATATCTGCACACGAGCTATATTTGGAAGGAGAGTTTGAAACTATATTTAGACTCCATCTAGATTATGCTTGAACGAACCTAAAACATTTGTCGTAAAGTTGGTTTGAGGAATAACATCGTACAAACATTAATCCATCAAAGAATCTTTCAGCCATTAAACATTGTAAGTCTCTAATATGCGCGATCGCATATACTTGTGCTACATGTGCATTTTGAATTGAAAAACTCGAGGCTTCTGATAGATTAGGGATGTCATTTGTTAATCAACATTTTATCCTTGCAAGGGAAAAATATTGTTTTAAATGATTTTAGTGAGAGAAAATTCTTTCTATTGGCTTAACTGTCTATGCTATGAAATGAAATGTCCATCAACATAAGGCCAAAATACGAAATTATATATTTACCTAGCAGTTTTTTCAATTTCATATCTTGATGCACAAACACCATTACATTTGCTTTAGAGTACTGAATTACGTCATAGTTTCACATGTTGCGGATTATGAAGTGGTTGAATTTCTAATTGCTAGGATTAAAGTTCGGTTGATTTTTGAGTGCTAAATGTGTTCTCATGTTTGCCCTACCCAAAGATCAACCGATACGGTGACTTTTAGATTAGCCAAGTTAGCATTTGTTCTGTTTTGGAATCATTTTTGTTTGAGGATTCTTCAAATAATCTAAGATGACCTATTTGAAGTTTGTATCATTTTTAAAATGATAATAAAACCGTTATTGTTTCGCCCGAAAGAAAAAAATTTCTAAAATTACTTTTAACTACCAATTAATATGATAATATCATATTTCTTAATATATTGTCACACTTCGAAACTTGTCGCTCTTATAAAGTAAATTATTAATATACCATTTAATTATGAGAATTGTTATTGGCACTCCAAAATTCTCATTTTATACTCCAAACTTTCTAGATTTAGAAAGAAAAATACACTTGTGAGGCGTGTAGAATGAGATTTTTAGAGTGTCAATAACATTTTCCTTAATTATTTGACAAATTAATCAATTTAAAAAAAAACAAAAAAGAATATGTTTTTAATCATTTACCCTAAAAAACATGCAATTGAAAACTGGAATATCCCAACAATTAAGAAAAGGTTGTCTACAGGCAAAGTATATGGATTAATTGATTTGTTAAACCGCTTAGTATTATGGTCATTAGTATTCTTCTTTACCTGTAAATGAGAGATTTTATGTTCGATTCTTTTCAAACGCGAATTTAAACTATATTATTACTAATCATTGTGAATCTTAGGAAAATTGAAATTAAACATGCATGTAAGAAATGGTATATTTTGTTATGTTCTGTCTTCCCTAATCGAATAGGTCGAGGTTTCGTGTACGAAATGTTTTGGTTTCAAGAATAATTACAAACTTCGCCTATTAACCTGTCCTAAACATTCAATGCATGAAAATACATATAAAAAATTAAATTAAATTAAAGGGTTAATCTCTGTTTACTACTCTCAAGTTTCGTGGTTTTCAACATTTAATACATGAAGTTTTTTTCGTCTCAGAGTCATACCTAAAGTGTTAATTTTGGGACAGTCTCATACATCCGTTAAGTTTTCCGTTAGAACTTCTGTTAACTGATGACATGACATCCACGTGGATAATGACTGAGCGTCATGTGTCAATATAGGCCCACTTTAATATTAAAAAAATTATTAAAAATTTTAATAACAAAACAAAAAAAAACAAACAGTCGTCTCCTCCCTCATCCCCGCACCCTCTTCTCCCTCACTCTGTTTGTTCTTCACCCTCCATTCTCTCCTCTGCAAGAACCCACCAAGCCTTCCTACCAGATCAGAATTTACACCAAGAAATCAATACAAAAAAAAATATTGGAGGTCTCCTCCTTCTATCTTCCTCCTTCCCTCTCTTCTATGTGCATTAGTTAAAGGTTGAGTTAGGGTTTGAGATTTGGGTTCTTACAATGGTATCACCCATATCGATTCTTGGATTCCTTTATGTGCGTGCCTGTTGATCTACTGCTACTTGCGACTCTGCCTTGGAGTCTCGTGTTGCTACCGTGGAGGCTTCCTTGGCGATTATCATCGCCCCTTAACCTTCCCTCATTGCCATTGAGTACACCAAGGCCTTCGATGTACGTCCCTCTGCGGCTATTGATGTACGTCCCTCATGTGGTACGAATCGCATGATGTGGTGTGAAGGAGGACATATGCAATTTGTAGACTCAGCACTAGCTGCTAAAGCAGCTTCAAAATCTGCCAGTGATGCAGCGGCGCTGGCCTTTTGTCTGCGCTCCCGTCTCTTCTTCTTCCCTTCTTCTTCCTTTTTCCTTTTGATTTTCCTTTTCTATTTCCGGTTTCTTTCTTCTCGAAAGAGACCCCAATTTTTTTGGGTTCACAAAAGAAACCCAATATTAGTTTATTTGAATTTTTTTTTCTTTTAACTTCATAGTTTTCTGGAAAATTGGGAAGATTTGGGTCTCCTCCACTTGCTTCGAGTTTGCATTTTCTGGGTTAGAAGATCCATACTTGAAAATACCAAATTCTTGTTGAATTGGAATTCTTTTGGTGGGATTTTGTTAAGTTGGGTGTGCGGGGAGGGTGGGTACAGGTTGCAGAGGAGAGAAGGGAGGGTGGTGCAAGTGCAGAAGAGAGAAGGGAGGGAAGGGGTGCGGGTTGCAGAAGAGAGAAGGGAGGGAGGAGAGGGTGCAGGGGATGAAAGAGGAGACGGCTGTTTGTTTTTTTTTGTTTTTTTGTTTTTTTTTTATTTTTTTATTTTTTAATTATTTTTTTAATATTAAAGTGGGCCTATATTGACACATGGTGCCTAGTAATTGTCCATGTGGGTGCCACATCATTAGTTAACAGAAGTTCTAACGGAAAACTTAACAGATGTACGAGACTGTCCCAAAATTAACACTTTAGGTATGACTCTGGAATGAAAAAAACTTCATGTACTAAATGTTGAAAACCAAAAAACTTGATGGTAATAATCAGAGATTAACCTAAATTAAAATATGCTAACAATTGTCTCCATATTAAAAAAGAAAAAGAAAAATATAGATCAGGCTGCAGATGATGATTTATCAGATTGACAGAAAATAATGATTTATGCACTTTGATACATATTCGATGTCTTTTTATCCTCCTAATAATTTGCAATTAAACTTATTAATGCAATATTTGTCACAAGAAAATAGTGTTATCTGCACACTTATTTTTACCTTTCCACGTCGGTTGTTAATTTCTGTCATGTGTTCTTCTTCAACTCATTTGATAAAACGATCGAAAATCAAAATACGTGTGTGAATAACACCACTCTCTTTATAGATTAGGCTATTCTGATTAAACTAATTAATCTTATGTATGTCAGTGTCTGATTATCTTAAGTAAAATAAAGTAGAGATTCGCAGCCAATTTGGATTTACTTTTTCAACATTATAGTAACCAATCACATGGCAATATAGCCAATCATTTATTTTCTGCGTCTTTTGTCCTTTTGCTTTTGGTGTTTCCTATTACTTTAGAAAATTATAAGAAAGTGTTATTAACATTTCAAAAATTTTATTTTACACTCCTCATAAGAGTATTTTTGTTTCTAAATGTAGAAAGTTTGGAGTGTAGAATGAAAAATTTGATAACAATTCCCAAATTATATTGCTTTATACTAATTTACAGTTACACTAAGATGTGTTATCCACACATTCATATTTAACTCTCACATATTCATCTTAATTTTTAACTATCGTATTGAATGAATTGAAAAATATTAATAAACAAGAATTAAGAAGAGTTCGGATATTAAACAATGAAAGTTGATTCAGTCTCATTCTAATAATCCGAATGTTGCCATGATAATTTGGATCTTCACATGCAATTTTTCTTCGAATAGTATGGAAGTATTTAGTAGTCCGGATGTTGAACGGTGAAAATTAATTCTAAGAAATTAAACAGTGAAAATTGTTTAAAAAGCTGAACGTTCACATGTAACCTCGTCGCTGGAGAATTATTAAAAGTAGAACCCTATATTTTATAAAGAAAACTAATAAAAATGATTTGAAAACTTTGAGTTTTAACAATAAAAACAAAATAAAGAGTAAAGTTAATAGTACCAGGATTGACTTTTTAGTGTAAATAAAGAGTAAAGTTAATAGTACCAGGATTGACTTTTTAGTGTAAAAATGTGGTTTTTCGTTAAAATGAACAGTATCAAAAGTTTTTCGTTAAAATTCTCTATTTTATAAGAGCGTAAAGTGAATTTACACTCCCAATATCCAAATGAAACTTTTGAATATTTAATCAAATGATCATTGACCTTTTAATCATAGTTATGCCAGCTAGTTCCATTCTCAGCCAATCAACAAATAAAATAAATTATCTTCTTCTATTATTGTTTATTTATAAGTACGAAATGTCAAATTTTAATAATGGTGCATTGTTAATTACTATACTTAAATATTGTATCCATGGCCTATGTGTTTATTTTGGACTTAAAGCTGGTTAAGCCGCGCCGAGCCGAGCCGAGCCGAGCGGGAAAGAGCAAGTGATTGTCCACTTAGGAGG